AAACAGATCTGTCTCTCTCTTTTCCTAGGGTTGTGTACGAACCGTCCAACTTGATGACGGCAAGGTTTTCTTTTTGAATAAGCGATACACGCGTAATCGTTTTCGAATAGACCTAGAAGGATGATAATAACGCTAAAGTTTGATGGTGAATGCACCGACAAACAGTAAAATAATGTTACGCTTCGTATTATCTTGGCTTACTCATGCTTAAAATAAAAACGCTGTCAGAACCCAGGCACGTACTTAGGTGCTCCCCGGATTGTTGGCAGTGTTTTCGCTTGTGGCTGACATCACGTCAGACGCACAAGAAATGACCTGAAGGAAAACCACATCAGCAACACACTGGAGTATTTTGATAGATATGACTCAGAGAGTAGGCCACTGGTGTGCGCCAATGACCAGTATGAAGGAACGCTCATCATCGTCAAACAGCGCCGAAGTGCTTGTTTGCTGCACATTTCGGTGTGATGAACAGTCCATACCATGAACCCCTTAGTCTCGAAAACCGACTGTTCTGTTATAGTAACGCTCAACCCAAGCTGTGAGAATCAAAATGAAGAACTAGGTATATGGCTGTAATAGGATAGGCCAGTTGTCAAGCCGAAGTTTCTTACCCCCAAAAGTTGGATGGTAGTAGCTGAGTTCGAACCGAGGGCCCCAACGTTCATCGCGTTAGAGATATGGAAGCAGTCCCGTGGCCTATTGTTCATTAAATATTAACATTCCGTTACTGAATTCTTCGTTCCTTCCACTTTTGAGCCAGCATGAACTACAGCAGCAACAAGAACAACTAGTTTTTCAACAAATGCTGAATGGGGTGAGTCCCCGATAATGCTGTTCCGTTAGGAAAAGCAATCAGACGACAACTGATCCGCCGACCATTGTTAAGAACAACGCGGTGTGGTATGTAAACCTTCCACATTTAGAATGTGGCAATAAGTATCCTATTGTTTAGAATAGAACTACTTTGCTCTTCATTTTAAAGGTCAGAATCACTTCCCGGAATACACCAGCGACACAAATTGAATGAAAAAGGGAGTTTAGCGAAAAATCTTTTTTCGGTGACTCATCAACTGGCCAACACGTTACATTTAAATCACATCATTTTGTATAGAAAAGAGGACACAAAACTAATTGTTATTCAATTGGGAATTGTTGTCGTTGTTTTCTGTGCCAATTTCACAAAACCCGGATATGGTTGATCCTGTCATCCGAACTTAAGCTTGGTCTGTGTTAATTGTGTGATTTGGGGGTGGGATTGAGACGGGTAGGAGGAGGTGGGGGAGGATTGGAGCTGGAGGGCCATGGTTGGTTGAGGGACTTCACAAACCGGTTTTTAGGCGCACAACGGAGGGGGATTATGGAGACAAATCCCAACCACCTATGCGGTGGCTAGGATCCTGTTTTTATTCGGCTTTGAGCTGGGAACCCGAACACAGTAGCGAGGCCGAAGTGCTTCAATCACACTCACTGAATTTTAATTTCACCATCTCTTGGTTTATCTTTGGTTTTCCCATAGCAGACCCGAAATGCCAATTCTTGATTTGGACAGACTCTGTCAAGATGCCTTTGAACCGCTCTACGTGACGCGAGATGAAGCGGAGGAACAGTTCACCGTTATGCGCGCTAAAATGGCCGAGGATGGATTCGCTTCTAATGACCAAAATCCGCAACCGATTGACTCCAGTCAGTGCACGGTATCCGCTCAATGCCTGCTTTAATTTGTTCTAAGTGTTTTTGCTTTTCTCTCCAGGTAGATGTCAGTTATTAACATTTCCCCCCTCTTAGTGTTTTTCCTTCATAAATCTTTCTTAGAGTTTTATGGTCCTGGTAACAGTATCCGGTTATGTAAATGTGTTTGAACTAATAAGCATGCTTCTTTTGACGGGCGTCTTTAACCAATTCATTTTTTGATGAACTGTCATTCATAATACAAACTGAATCTTTTGGAAAATGTGATTTCCTTGGAGTTAAGATTAATCGTTTAGCTTCGCTGTCGCCCCGGATCGTACTCTCGTCTAGCCATTAGGGCCTTTATAGGTTAAAGCCCCGGTCATCGAGTATTTATACGGTTTACTTTACAAATCATCATCCCTCGGTGCTTTAATCACACTCAGCCATTTCCAATACAATTTGGACTTAAACCGCAACAGGGATTCTGTGCATCATTTTCCGCACTTAACTTTACCGGTTATCTTTTCGTTTCGAAACTGGAAGTTTCTGCATCACATCTCCAGTTTGACAAAAGCTGGTTCCTGCATCCTTGTCCATCATGTACTTAAGATTTCTTTTGCGCCGTCGTGACATCCGGCTGTCTGTGAAGGGTCGAGTGTATGCCACAGCAGTTCGGCCAGTGCTGCTCTACGGCGCAAAGGCTTGGTCATTACGGGAACAGGATAAAAATAGGTTATTGATTTTCGAACACCACTGTCTACGACGCATTGCATGATTCTGGTGGGGAAGTAGGATGAGCAGTGCTAAGGTTAGGCGTAGGGCTTTAAGTAATGTTCGCCGAGGCAGGTAGTGGGTGGAAGAAAGTCAAGGGTGGTCAAGCTAAGACATGGCATGAAGTTATGAAAACCCTAACCAGGATTCTGGGTCGCATAGGTCCCGTTAGGCTACCTCGGGATGATCGTAACCGATGATTAGAGACACTGAGTGATTTGGCTGCGTGTCGTAAACAGTGAGTTCGTGCCTCTCCCCTCAATTTCTTTGCAACCTTAGACCACTGAACTTCTCCATTTTCTTTTCGACTCCACTTCCAAGTTTCCTTTCTTCTCCTATTCTTCATCCCAATGGGCAACCAAAACCGGCGCACGAATATGCGTGGTTAATGGTTGTTCAAACTAAAAACTGAACTTACTTACCTTTGTTGCGTGGTTGTTCTGCCATTTTTAGCTGGTATTTAGCGCCTTTTATTTTCCTAAGTTAACAACATACGACTGTACCAATTGTTCAATGGGGCTGATAAGTCAGTAGTCGGAAAGTTTAGTCCTTTACCAATGAAAATCAGATCTTCCCTCACTTACTTATTACTGTTATTGTCAACCCCAGAATGCCAGATCGACCCCTCCCGGTATTGCGGCCGTATCGTAGATCACTGTATGGTAAATTTTATCCATGCGGAATTATAATTATATATTTATAGTCTCCTATTTTCAGTGATCAATTAATTATATTGATGTAATAAATAATTTCCATATTCAAAATAGTTGTTTGACGCATATCAACACGATTCATTTGTTTTCCGCTTTTCCCGGGTCAAGTGTATGCGACAGCCCCATGACTACACCATCCATCTGACTGCAGATTATACCATTAAAAGGAAAGTATGTAGTTGGAATGGTTTTATTTCAAGGGATCTCGGGTAGTCGAGTAAACGGTGCGTTCCACTACCATGACAACCCTTACATGTCTTCATCTAATTTAGTATTTGTCAACGTGAAATTCGTTCAATTGACCATGGAATCGATAATACATTATGTGCGTGTTACCAGTTTAGTCTCCTATTCCAACTTCTTTCAAAAGATCGTTTTAATTTTTTCAGGCATAAACAAAGTGTATCCGGAAATAACATTTCTCGGAACCGGTTCATCTGCACCAAACAAGTATAGAAACATCAGTGGCATTTTGGTACAAATCAAGTAAGTATGTATGTATACCTCTACATTTGGTGGTAATTGCTCGTATACACATGTAAAGGCTTTCTGCAAAAACATCCCTATTGATACAGTAATTGCTCCGGAATGCAGAATGGTTTATCAAGGTTGCTATTGCCTAGTTTGTCGTTCACTAATGTGGCTATTGTAACCGTGCACCTGTACATTCAGTTCATAGTTGTACGCTGGCCATCTAATCTCGGAGCAGCTTACGATATGCATGCATCAATTCAGTACTTGATAGGAAAGCAGTTTACGTTCTATTCCTTCCCATTTTTTATCAATGCTCTTTGGCTCTTCCTGATAGGCCTGAGCAATGCCATCTGTCGTGGTTGGCCTCTTTTGATAATTGCCAGGAAAGTATCCAACTTGTCCGGGATAATCATTATATGTTCTGTACTGCAAATTGTGTTGCATTTGTTCTTTTTGACGATGCGAAACTTCATGTGTTTTTTCACTGACTGTGCTCCTCATTGCAATCACGATTTACTGCCTTTTTAATCCCCTACAGCCTGAATGATATCATCATGATGGATTGTGGTGAAGGCTCGTTGAATCAAATATATGCAATGTACGGACCGAAAGAAGCGGAAGAGATCCTGCGTAAACTGCGGTTGATTCTTGTGACTCACATGCATGCAGATCACCATGGGGTGAGTTTTCTTGTATCCATATTCGTGGATCAAGGGGGCAGGGCGTGCGCAGTGGGCAAAGCGACTGATATTTTTATCTAGCTAACCTGATTTGTATTTTCCTCTCTCTCTCACACACACACAATGGTTTTCAATTTTCTTTTCCCCGTCCGGCACCGCGTAGCTGTTACGTCAGCTTGAATACTGACATTCCAAGAAGTATCCGTTGCTTGCGTACTTGATTTACTTTGGTTCGGCTGCCTGAATCTGCCAGCTTCACGAAGTTCTGCACTTTCATAGAAGTTTTGATACAAAGACACCGGTGTCATTCGACGCAAAGCGTCCACACCCGACTTTTCGCCTTCGTGGTTTCACAGTCTTTGAACGAGTGTTGCCGAAGCTTGTCGTTGGTACACTAAGCAGTACATTTGGTGTCAGAAAGCTAGCAACAGATATTTGAGAACTAGACATAATTAGACATTCTGTGAATTACGCAATAATCAAAGGTTTGCCGGTAAACTTTTGAAAACTCTCGGAAACGACCTAAAATCGAAAATGCATCCTAACAAGTCAATTAACAGTGTTGCTACCGATTCACATTAGGATAAAGACCGTTGTAACTCATTTGTTGTATTCAGAGAGAGAGAGAGAGAGAGAGAGAGAGTAAAACATCGAACCCGCATCTGTTTACTATGTTGATTCCTACTCGAGTTGTTTCTCACGTTGCAAAAATGAAGCGAGATTCTAGTTTATTACCTCGGTGCAATGATGAGAAAAATCCTGCTTCTTTATACTGGGGATATAATTTTATGAGAACAGACAACGAATGGTAAAATACAAAAGCAGAACATATACTGGTATACTTAATTTTGCATGAACCAAGTGGATAACATTGCGATTCGTGCTGATGAATTTCGAGAGCATTTGTGATCTGCAGTCGTACCGGCCATTTGATAAAACGAAGGGATTTCAAGCGAACGTAACACATTGCTTACAGTGGCCCAGTCGGTTAAACCATTCATGTGCGGCGTTTGCTTTTGTCCGAGTTCAGAGTATGCCGACTAGTCCCTTCAGGTGCCACATTTCTTTCAGACCCGTCTCTCTCTCTCTCCGTGATTCGTAGGGTGTATTCTCCATGGCCTTAGCACGTAACCGATTGCTCGCAGCTCAGGACCCGGCCAGCGTGAGTCGTAGCCTGCACTCCACACTGCTTCCAGTTTTGGCTCCACCGGCATTCGCTCGTTGGATGACCAGTTTCGCCGAACTGTTCCACCATGGCCCCATAGTGAATCTATTTGTCCTACCGAACGTGTACCACTCACCTTGTCCTCCGGGAATTAAAACGCGCCTTTGTCCCCTCAATTCAGACTCCCCCAAGTATGATGAATGGGTTCAACTGTTGACCAGTCTTAATTTGGAGGTAAGCCAAATTCCTATGAATTCACCCTTCATTAATTTTTGGATGTTCCCCTGAAGTCTGTTCGCTTAGAATAAACTTAATAAATACACGGAGCCAATTAATATAGATTGCTCTTTTCTGGGAATGATTTTGTTTTAGCGTTTTTCAACTAAAGCAATTCATTAATTCTTGTGTAAGATTTATGCAATATCAGTCGTACTCATGGGCCATCTTTTCTAGTTCATTTTCACGCATTAAATCCTCCTCATCCACATCCGAGAATAACTTAACTCAAGTTTCCCCTGGTTGGAGCCGAGCAAATCAAATAATCCATCCCATGTTTAAACCATGAACTCCTCTCATCGAGTGCCAAACAGTTCACATTGAGGCTGATCGATTCACATTTGCTTAAGTATCATCCCCGGTGACACTTATAGGTTTGTCTCGTCCTAGTACTCCTAGGAGTAGGCTTTCTTCTGCAAGCATTACCGTTGTCCGAAATATCATCATCCCTTATTTTTCTAAGTCGGACACTTATCGTTATGGGCTTGATTAGTCACTTATCGGATTGTGTTAAATTGTTTTCTCACCCCTTAATTGTTTTATGAGCATGCCTCTCTTGTATGTCTCGTCGAAAACACCGAAACTTCACTCGATTGGGTGCATAGAGCGTATTTTGACTTGACCAAACCCGCCATCTGCAACACAGAATACAGCCAACGTTCTCCTCCCCTCGAATGTCTGTCAACAATGAATTCCTTCATTCAGGTGTTTTGCTTCATGTCCTCGCTTAAACAAACAGACAGATGTTGGTAGTAATATAGTCTGCCTGCCTCATGCGTTTGTGAGCTATTTAAACGTTTCGTTTCCAAGAGTCACAATTGTTTCTAAAAGCNCCCCCCCCCCCCGTCCCCCGAATATACTCCATATGAGTGATAAAACAATATCGGTGCATTTGTTTAGGAGGTGACGATCTTTTCCTATCTCACACTAATGTGTGATAAACAGGAGAACGAATGTATCCTATTTTCACAAAAACTTCCTGTTCAGTTACGGAAACTGTCCATTGTAGTAGCGAAACACAAAGCTCCAATCGGGTAGGTACGGTATTCCACCGGACAAAGCTGTATGCTACCAAAGTTGGGGACGCTGGCTGGGCTTGTCTCCCGAAGTTCGAATTCCGGGTCACGCCAGCAACCGTGACTGCTTGACCACCCTCACTCAATGTATCGTTTACCAAATGGAAGTCATTGTTTCTATTCCTAGCTCCGTTAGCTTAGGATGCTAGTATCACTTGTTTTCTATACTTTGTGTTACTTTTTTGCGATTTTATTTAGCCAAACGGTATTTCTTCAATAAACCAGTGTTCAAGACTATATTGTTCAAAACTGTATGATATTGAGTATCGCCACCCATTAGGCATCAAACGCGTGGGGTAGTGCGATTTTTGAAAAAGAAACAAAATCAAACACTTTCATTTGTGGCCGTGTCAAGTCCAGTGTTTTCTTATCCCCGCTTCATCGGGGTCAAACAGATCAACCCCGTTCGAGTTCCACACACAGGTACATCGTGGGCTTACGTGATTCGTGGTTTATACGACCAATCCAGCCCGGAACACAAATGGTCTGTTGTTTACTCTGGGGACACACCACCGTGTGAGGACTTGATCGAGGCTGGTCGAGATTGTGATCTACTAATACACGAGGCCACAATGATCGACGAACATGAGGATCTGGCCGTGCGTGCCAGGCATAGGTGAGTGCCTTCTTTAGGCCCGAGCTATTTTTCTTGTCTGTGTCAGCTTGTTAGCTCGTCCGTGTCTTATATTAGCACCACTGTTTCCCTTTGATTGGTGTACGCGTTGACTGTTCGTTTGTGTACCAGTTCGAACGTGGAAGAATGAAAATCATTTCGAAACAAAGCTGCATTCTGTTTCTATTCATTCATTGAATGTTTAATGGGCAGAACGTACAGTCTTTCAGATTGGATTAATCGGAGCACAGACCATGAACAAGCAGTTGGGAAAACATCTTTTCAGAGTATTCGCTTGCAAGGACTGCACTTGTATGAACTTTCCTCCGAAGGAGAAAACAAACAACAGACAGCTGATTAAGTACAAAAACAATCTTATCGTACATCATAGATGTTTCAGAAATTTCGGAAAAACTGCTGAAACGATTCGGAATCCAAGTGGCCTCCAAGCCGACCGTCTGTCTACGAAGAATGGTATCAAAACCAACAGAGGACAATACAAAGAAAGAAGAACAGCGTTACTTAGGTCACGAACTGAAAAAAACTGGTCGAAACACGATATTGGACAAACTGAAAGTCCTTTATGAACAACAAATCGTGGACATCAGGTAATGATTCTCACCTGCTGTGCTCCACGAAAACTGAGAACTTCGAAGCAATGAGAATCGTTTTGATGGTGTTCACGTCACGATTTCCCTGGTATATTCCCAATTTGGTAATGCCGTAATCAGTTCAAATACGTTTCCCTGGTTCTTTGTTTTTGATCAATATTTTTGACTTTGCTTTGCTTTGGCCTGTACAACCTGGAAGTATTCAGCCGACAAACCAATCATGGGACGTTTTTCTTTTTTACAAAGATTATTGTACCATGATTTGTTTGGCACACAGTCTGGCCTCAGGCAAGTGTAAAGTATAATAATAATCTTTTTCTTTCCATCGTGTTGCACTGTCCGGCTTGAACAGTTTCCCACGAATCTTCTCGTCTTTTCTCTTCCACCAGTACCATCGGGTCCGCCATTCGGGTTGGCCGTGATATGCACGCCAAATTCACCTTGTTGAATCACTTCAGTCAACGTTACGGGCGAGTACCAATGTGGGATCAGTTTATTCCCAATGTGGCTGTGACATTCGATTTAATGAAGGTTGGTTACTACACGATTTTCTTTTCATGTCCATTTCATTCTCAGCGACGTTGCACCTTTTGAAGCCCCCAACCATAGAATTCGGTTTTGTTGGACTCGTAGAACAATGAGTCCCGCCGAAAAATCCAATCACTAACATTGTTGTTGTATTTCTTGTTTAAGGGAGAACCACTTATTAGTGAACACTCTCTATACAATGTGTTTAACTCTTACATATTTTTCTATTGGTGGTCATCGTGATCCGATTGAATGTGCACTGGATAAATAATCCCGATATATTTATTGATAGAACAAGATGTGAAACAAGATTACTTCCTGTGTTTCATCTACCGGCCAGTTACAGCACATTATATAACCCACGGAACAAAGCAGGGATATAAGAAATCAAATGATTAATGCCGTTCAAATAGGGAAGGGGTTCGGGTTCGGTTGCGACGTAGAAGTTCAAATACCGCTTAATTGGTGCTAATTATTTAAGGGGTCGGGCCACTTGACCATGAGAGGATAAGATATGTCACGAACTGTTGATGCATTTATGGTGAGCACTTATTCGGTTCATTTCAGCAACTGCGCTCGCACTTGTCTTTATCGATCCTCGACTGAGCTAAACTGGGTGATGTTCTCTCCTCCGATAAGCCAAACAAACCCCTGTGGGTGCCACCAATATAATTTGTGCCACAACGGCAAGTGTAACAGAGGTCACCTTCATTTGAGTTCATTTGAAAAATAAGCAGTTTCCGATACGGTCTTAAGTTCGTACTGTGCTACGTAACTTAACCGATGTTGAGGCTTCCCGTTTTATGTATTACGCAGACGAAACAAATAATGAACAAACTCACAAGCCTAAAAAGAAGTGGCATGACTACGTTACTATTTGGTAGCCCTGAGAAACAATCACCAATGGATCCTGAGGGCTATGACCGTCATTTTTTTAACACACCGGTTTGTGATGTACAACAGACGGGATGGAACCCCATTGTCAGGAAGACCTGTTGTTCAGTGATGGTAACCGGGAATTGGAGTGGCGAACTACATAAGGCCCCGCAAGGTCAGGCGCGGTATAGAATACCGGTGACAGCAACTAAACCACTACGCCAGCACCACTTATCATATTTCCCTTCTTTAATTTGGATAAAACTACATTAGTCACTTGTGTTTGGGCCTATGTTTCGTGGTCCACTTCTTGGTTTAAAGCAGGTAAAAATGGAAGTTCAATTTAAAAATTAGTCAATGAATTGGTCTGGAATCATCATCATCTGGTTTTATGTAGAAGGGGTAATGAAATCCACCTCTGTGCAATCTTGCTCTGAGTATTTAGCTCAGTCAAACGATGGGAAAGGTATCTTATCCAAGGGACACTATGGTGCGCTGCCGGAACTAAGAAAGAACCCAGGTATCACTAGACACAGCGAACAAGTATATATTTTGGTTGGATTTTGCTTCCCGAATTACAATTCTCTTCCCTGAATGAAACAACTCCCTCTATGAAATCAATTATTTGTATAACTACCCTGCAGGATAAAATAATTAGATTATATTGTGGTCCCCTCGAATCGCCTATGAAAATTGTGTGGTACGTTTGATTTGTCCTAAGTTAACTAGTCTTGGTGGGATTCGAACCCACGCATAGACGCCCCCTACTCCCTTTTACATTTCACACTACCGGCTGAGCTACGAGGCCACCCCAATAACACTGATCTTTTCACGTTTGGATCATCCATCCAACTAACAGAAATATCTGAAATTCACCAGGTAACATGTTAGCTGAGTGCCACTGAATAAACTTCTAAGACAGGATTATTTGCTTAAATTATATTCATTGGTAAACTTCAGTTTGGTAAACGGTATATTCCAAAAGTCGAAATTTCGGTTTTACTACTATGATGCTGGCAGTAATTAAAGATTACATATAACCGTCGAAAGTGATAGGTAATTTGAACCCAGTGGTTGTATAAATCGGGCGTTTTGGAAAATGACGAGTTTGGTGACTCTGAGATACGTATATTACCTTTTATTGCATAATCAGTTATCCCACTGAGAGTGAATCACTTGGCAACAAGCTCATCTCATCTTTTTTCACATCCCCGTTTCAGATCCGCATGGATGATTTGAAGCGGCTTCCATACTATGTACCCTTTTACAAGTATGCGTTCGCAAAACACTGGGATGCACAAAAAGTTAAGACAGAGGCCTATTGCTGGCGCAAATTTCGGGAACAGTCCTCCGCGAACCCTGATAATACGGCTGCAGAAAACAACACATCAGATAGTAACAGCACAGTGTCTAAAGGCGTAGAATCAGCCACGGCCTAGATTTCAGCTCTCTCTCCGTTCCCTGTGGATGTACTATACGCACATCAGACTTGTAATATAATCGACCTTCACGAACCATTTTGTTTTAATTCTATCAAATTTCTCTATCAGAAAGCACCAGGCTTCCTGATCATGAGTATTCGTGCTGATCGCTCAGTTCAGTTGTTTTGTTTCCTGTATTTTCTGACTAAAATGCTCGCAAAAGTCTTGGTTTCGTCTCGCTTCGTTCCCCCCGCCGATAATTACCTGAATTCCACGAGCCAAAACGGAGATGCATATATATATATATAT